GCACGGATGACTGCGTCCACTGCACCGTGTACGCGTCCGAGTCATCGAAGGAGTCCCACGATATTTTCACCGAAAACGCAGACTTTAGTTCAAACTGTAGAGACATTGATGCACGGCGATATCCGCATCCCCGCACTGAGCAGGTCTAGTCGATTTGTGGTGGCGAAAACACTCCATACCCCTCACGGAGCTGTGGTATACTGGTTAGAATTGATCCCTGTCACGGATCAGATCCGGGTTCAACTCCCGGCAGCTTCGTATCCTTTTTCCTCTCGTATTTTTTTTTCCGTCGCGATTTTTCGTTTCGTGTTGTGGTTCCGGGAGCGGGGTTACCACTGCAGGTTTGCAGGTACATGTTGTACCTCGGCGATTCCGTCCGTTCGCTATGAGCAGGTCTAGTCGATTTGTGGTGGCGAAAACACTCCATACCCCTCACGGAGTTGTGGTATAATGGTTAGAGTTGATCCCTGTCACGGATCAGATCCGGGTTCAATTCCCGGCAGCTTCGTATCCTTTTTCCTCTCGTATTTTTTTTTCCGTCGCGATTTTTCGTTTCGTGTTGTGGTTCCTGGAGCGGGGTTACAACTGCAGGTCTGCAGGTACATGTTGTACCTCGGCGATTCCGTCCGATCGCTGTGGCCAGATCTAGTGCATTTGTGGTGTCGAAAACATTCCTCGCCCCTCACGGAGCTGTGGTATAATGGTTAGAATTGATCCCTGTCACGGATCAGATCCGGGTTCAACTCCCGGCAGCTTCGTATCCTTTGTCCTCTCGTGTTTTTTTTCCGTCGCGATTTTTTGTTTCGTGTTATGGTTCCGGGAGCGGGGTTACAGCTGCAGGTCTGCAGGTACATGTTGTACCTCGGCGATTCCGTCCGATCGCTGTGGCCAGATCTAGTGCATTTGTGGTGTCGAAAACATTCCTCGCCCCTCACGGAGCTGTGGTATAATGGTTAGAATTCATCCCTGTCACGGATCAGATCCGGACTCAATTCCCTGCAGCTTCGTATCCTTTTTCCTCTCGTGTTTTTTTTTCTGTTGTGATTTTTCGTTTCGTGTTATGGTTCCTGGAGCGGGGTTAACAGCTGCAGTTACATGTTGCACGTCGGCGATTCCGTCCGTTCGCTATGAACAGGTCTAGTCCATGTGTGGACAAATAAAAACACGGACGGGAAATAAGTTTGTTTTATTTTCTTACCTGATATTTTTGTGCTTTTTTAATTTTTGGTGTTGGAGGCCAGCAGTATCTATTTTTTTTTTTCTAAATATGACCCAACGAATCCATCTCCTGTATCTAGGACAAGAGTCCAAGATAGATTAGCACTGAATTCATAGCGTCAGAGATAGCTACCTGTATTTCTATTGTTTTCGCATATCTATTTTGTTTTTCTGCCAGAGGTGACCTACATACCGAACACGAACAGCTGGCACATGTCATTATTTTTAGACCTTCTGGGGGTGGGTGATGACCAAAAAATAAACGGCCGTTAAAGTAGCCAGCCAAACTCATTGCGTATGCATCTCGAACTGCGAGCGAGAGCAGTTAGAAATAGTTAGAGATGAGGGAAAAGAGCCAAAGAAATAGCAAGCCTCCAATAGCTGCTGTTAACCCTTTCTCTTTATTTAGCGCATTGTTGGGTCTGCCAGGTCCGTGTGAAAAGCCAATCACCTTCTACCGTAGGTGACATGACGTAAGATATCACACCCCTGGATCGGTTTTAAAACTCTAATTCTCCACGACGAAGAGGCTCCCAACGCCGCCATTTTCATCACCGCCACTCTTTCTGTGTGGAGCAATCGAACTTTGAACATCGGTCCAGGGGGTGTGATATCTTACGTCGTGTCACCTACGGTGGTTGCGCTCTTTGTGGGTTTGACGTCTTACGCGCCAATTGTAACGGTCCAACCAACGGAAAACGTGATACCGTGAGAGTGAGAGGGACAAAGGCGAAAAACACACAACTTCGGTTCACAGTTCATCTTCTCCGCCCTTGACACTGGGGTCGCGGGTGGTCGTTTTTTGTGTGCACACGTCGACGTATTCCACACAAGATAACACCCCCGGTGATAACGGGTTCGGCGTTATTTTATCAGCAAAAGGCGGGTGTTGGTGTTGTGGGGGGTATGGTAGAGTATCTGCGATTTTCCTAGGTTACTTGACCCGAGAGTATGTGGGTCTTATCACTGCTGCTATGTGTTTCTCGTGCTGTTGTACCTTAAACAGGAACAAGAATTGTACCTTAATCAAGAATTACCTCTATGTATGCGGCGGGGGGACTTCGGAGGGGAAAATACGGGGAGCCGAGCTTCGGAATACTCCGCCCCGCCCCGCCCGACGGGCTAGAAAAGAAAAAATAATCTGTGTCTCTGTTCTTTCAATATATACCCCATGGGCCCCCTGTTTTGGTGGAAACATCGTTTTTTGTTTTTTCCCTTCCCTCGCGGCACTGAAAAACGAGCGACACCCACCCCTGCTGTGCATGTTTCTCAGGTTTTGAAGATCGCGAGGATGCTGGCGGGAATCCAGGGAGAGCGGAGCCTGGAGGACGATGACCCCTCAGAATGCAACGGGGGGAAGGCAAAGGAGCTCGCCAACGTTGGAGGGATCGTAGTGAGTTGTCGTTAGGCTCAGCCGCGTGCTTCACGTGTCATCGTCCCTCTAAGAGTGCTATTTAGGTCGTCAGTCTACGGCAGCAAGTGCGTAGTGCCGTGTGGAAGTTGGTGCGTGTGTGTGTGTATTTTTCTCTTGTGTCCATCGAGGCGCGGTGTGTGTCTTGCGAATGCGTTCGGTCGATGTTTCGCGAACAGGGCAGGGCAGGACGTACTTTTCTCCGTCGTTACATGAGATAGAGTGGTGTTTTTTTTTTAGGTTGTTCGGGGACACATACATGAGTGTGGATGGGGAAAGGGCAACATGTGGGATCCGATGATTTGTACAGAAGGGCTGTTTTTTTCCACTGTGCGAGTCATTGCTGTCGTATGTGCTAGGTTACATGAACTGTTTCATGCTGTCGCCAAGCCTCGTGAATTCAGAAGTATGTTCTCTGGCCACCCCACAAGCGGTCGCCAGCGTGCGGCAATGAGGTACTACAGTAATGCATCTACAGTGTCTGAAACACAAACCCAAGATGCAACGAGCACGCGAAATCGTGTCCCCCACATGAATCCGCCAAATGCCACCGCGTTGTTCATCTCTCCATTGTGTTTTGACTCAAAGTCTCTCCCGATGCCTTGTTGATTCCTACGCTGCGCGTGTAAAGCATGTACGATATTGTAGCTGTATTGTAGCACAGACGCGACAGAGGACCGCAGTTTTGAGTGCCTTGTCCAATCGGCGTCCGTTACATTTTTTTTTTTTTGCCCAGTGCACCGGACGCGCGCGGTACTGCTGATTTTCATCGTTGTTCGCCGTTCGACCCGGCGACGCTTAGTTACGCTTTTGCCCCCCCCCGAACCATAATGGTGGTCGAGTAGATCATGTTGTGCGGGGTCGAGAAACCTCACTCCGCGCAACGGGGGATGATCGCACCACGTTGTGTTAAAATGGTCAAGCTTCCTCGAGGCAGTTACACAGTGCTTACAACTGTCTCTGGAAGTAAAAACACCAGAAAGTAAATTAAGTCATACGTAGCTGTCATCCGTACGCAAGGAAGTAAGCACAAGATGCCGAACACCCTTAGCAGGATGCAGCTCACCCTTCATGCGACTCGCCAAATACCTCACGGCGCTTCGCGCTTGGTGATGTGAGAGCCTGGTCCGGTGAGAACCCGGCGTGCTCCGTCCCGGCTTTGTAGGGATGCGAGGTCAATGGTCAAACGACTACGGCATGCACGACTATGAGTACACCCCCCCCCCCCCCCCCCAAAAAATGGCCCACGGGGAACGGTCCCTCCT